AGAAACTGGTCCAAACCCAGGGCCTATGAATTCCTTCAGCTCACTGTTATTGTGGATCTTAGGTGGCGCTTCCTCTGAAGGCCTCAACTCATTTCTCTCCATCTTCAGAGATCTAAGAGATCAAGGACAAGACTACACCGATGACCCAGGGCATGAAAGTCACGCAACACAGAATGTACAATAGCTTTGGAATAGATGTCAATTTTAATGTATTACATGTTAAACCTTTTTAGCGTAGGTGTTACAGGAAATGAATACTTGGATTATATGAAAATTGTGTGTAAGAAAGCTCAGCCTTGTTCATTCAAACATGAGAAGAAAGAGAGATTTTTTTTAACATATTTTCTTTTTGAATCCGAACCCCACCCAAACATAGGAATAAAATATGATAATATTTATATTTGATTTTAAATGTAATATAAATATAATTCATGGTCATAATGGCATTGTTTTAATTTAACTGAAGGTGTAAATTTATGTTAATTCTTCTCAAAAAATGTACATTAATTGATTCTCCATCTTTGAATGGAGAACTATTGTAAAAAAGATTGGGCACAAAAATACTGGTCAAGGAGAGCTCAGAATACCAAATAAAATACAATATCTTCTCCTAGGAAACATGCATTACTTCATATTATTTTGAATAAACGAAATATCCATTTAATCATTATTAGGTAGTTGCATAAAAGCCTTGAATGACATATTTATATACACATATATATATATATGTAGTTAACCCAAGTCTTTAGTTTCCCGGTTCTTTTGTCCAGTATCTGCTCCATTGTTTTGGTTCATCAAGAGTTTCAGTAGCTTATGAAGTGGTGATCATATTTCCAATTGAAGGTTTAGTTGGGTTTTCATTGATGTATTTTATACTTGTGGCTCCGGTGTTAGTTTGTCTGCCTCTTTATACTCTTCTGTTTAAATGGTCTGCTTACCCATATGCTAATTCAGGCCATGTGGAGGGCAGGAGGGGAGTGCTTTTGCTTTTCTACACAATCAATACATCTTTCTATAGTTAACAGCAGTTTTCGACTTTAAACTTTTCACTTTCCAAGTATATACATGTCTTTATATGTAGAATATGTACTCTGGTGTTAGAGTTAGAAGTTAGGATGTTGTGATATTTTGTTGTTTGTTGAGGTTGATAGTAAATATAAGAAAAAAAAAAATTAGAAAACATCTAACATTTGTACTAAAACCCAATTTATTTGTATATTTATTAGGTCAGATTTTATTCCAGTATAATTTTAAAATAAAAAATTACATTAAGTCTGACATGTTAGTTTAAATATCTAAAAAGTTGTAGGTTATAAATTATTTATTTAATTATAAAAAAACAAAATATATTTATAAAAATTTTATTTCAAAAGATTTATATCATTAGAATTCAGATTAAAAAAAAAAACGGTATTTTTTATTTCGAAGTCCAATAAAATTAATTCTCTTATCTCCTTTTCTTCTTCTTCTCCTCCATGGCGTTTCTATTCAACCATATAAATACATAAGCTTCTCAAAAATTAAGTAACCAAAAAATGTATTCTCAAAGAAGGAGAGGCAAAGGAGAGAGAGTTTACCTAGTTGAACCTAGCACGTGGGAGCTGAAGAGAGCAGAAATAAGGTTCAACAGCAATGAAAATGTGAAAGGGAAGATGGTCTCGAGGTGGTTGGCAACATTGAAAAAAGGTGCGTGCAAAAGAGAAAATTTGAGCAGCATCAATTGGCGACAGAAGAAGATGGATATTAAGGATTCTTGAGCATTGAAGAGATGATAGCCTAAGTATAAGAGACAATGATGGAAATTTGACGAGAAATTTGCGTATGAAAAATTGCAAATGATCTATCAAAATATTATTGAGAAATATTCAAGACTAAAATGTAATATAACCAAAATTTAGGGATTAAATTAAGTATTTGTTTTTATATAAAAAATAATAATAATCTTTTATGGTAACAAATTGCATAAAAGAGAAGAGAGATGATGGAGAGAAAAAAAAAAATCATTCAAAAATAAATTTTATGTTTAAACTTTAAGGGATTTTATTAAAAAATACGAAATAATTATTTTAATAATCTAAAATTTAATTTACACTAATAAAATTAAAATTTATACAGAATAATTTGATATAAATGTTAAAATACAAAGTATTTTTAGATATTATCTCTTTTCAGAATAGTTAAAATACTTATCTCTTATATATATTATTATATTTTTTTATATATTTGATTGAAATTTATAATAAATACTTATTAACTGATTTATCTAATAAATTAAAATTATTTTATATATAGAAAATTAAGATTTTTAATTTATTTTATATCTGATATTTAAAAATATTTTATAAAAATGAACTTCTAGTTTTCCTGTTTAGTTGAGTTTTGAAGGAACATATAACTTCTTTTCTTAATTGCTAATATTAATTTTTACATAAATATATTACGCAATTTTAGGTGTAATATTAATTTGTATTAAAACATATTCAAGTCCTTTATGTATACCATTCTTTTATTGTTAAATTGATTAATTTTATAATTTTAAAAGAAAAAGAAAAAGTAACATTTTGGAATTTAAAAATTTTAATTGAATAAATTTAATAATTTTTTTAATAAAATTTAAATTTTACAGTGAAATTAAGCATGAAGAATCTATGTGTTAATTAAAAATTCAAATTAAATGTAATTTATATAATAAGATAGTGTCAATTAGAAAAACATATACATAAGATTAGTGACTAAATTTCTATAAATCATATTTGTAATTTTTCATCCATATTCTTTTTAATTTATTTTACATAAAACATCAAATAATTAGAATATTTTTATAATTAATATTAGCAATTAAATATTTTTTTAAAAAAAATTTATTACATAAATATTTTATTTTATTATTAAGATGGCACGACTTTTGTACAGTATACAATTTTTATTATAAAGATAATTCAAATATTTTCATGTAATAATCTTAATGAAAATATATATTTATTATTATTATTAATTTAATCACAATTATCATAAAAATAAATTTACTTAATATCTTCGTAATAATAGTTAAATAATATGCTAAAATCCAATAGCCCATGAACGTCTACCTTCAAACATGTTCAAATGGTCTCTTTTTTCTTTGAGTAAACGGAAATCTCTTCAATAGAAACGAAGCTTATATTTCTAAGGTAATTTGGGAATGGCAGCGACGCTGGGCTGTGGTGGATATGTGGTTGGTACTGTCGTCACTGGTTCTCTCCGCTCCTTTCCGACCAAAAGAGTCTTTCCCTGCAAATCGCTGCCTCTACGAAATGGCTTCTGGACTCTCCACAACCGTAATCCACTCTCCACTTTTTCAATTACTGCACTTCCCTTCGATCTCTCCCCTCCGCCCATTGATCATGACCTCCTTGTAAGTCTCATTCGCCTTTCTCACTTCCTCCCCCCACCCTCTCTCTCTTGAATTAATCTTTTTTTCCTCTTTTGCTATTGCATTGAAGGATACTTTGGCAGTTGCTGGAGCAAACCTGTCAGGGAGTAGAACTGTTGAGACTTTTCATAATGATGATGAAGCTTTGGATGCAGTTGATAATGGAGTAGCGGTGCGTACTTTCTACTTCCAACTTCTAAATTTGGTTTCTCCTTCATTTCTTGTTGGTGTCTGTCTTTAGTATTTCTTTGTTATATGGGAAATTCAAAATAGGAAAAATAAGAAACAGAATAGGAAAATAGATAGGAAATAGTTAAGAAGCGGATACTTAGGAAAATTGTAATGATTCAATGTAGTAAAATTAGTAGAGATTTCAAATGAATTTTATAAAAATAATTCAGTTGTTCGAGACTTACTTCCAATCTATGTTTGAAATAAATGAACTAATTTTGAGGAATTCGTTTAAAGATTCACATTTTCTTTTTTTTCAAATCCTATTAATACTTATGGAATTTAAAATATATTGTTTTAATGCAACTTCTTGAAATTGCCCTGGGATGCTAACTTTTATCATTTTGGATGAAATTACAAGGCATGTATTTTTAAATGAATTTTATATAATTAAGTTTATTTG